ATTCACAGTTTGTTTTCCAATATATTATTATATAAATAAATTATAAAGAATTTTATAACTAACGGTAAAATTAACATGTAAAATACTTTTAAGGTATATTTTTGTGTGTATATAAAAACGTATCATTTTCGCTCATTAATGAAGAACCAAACTCACCGGCGTTTTCTTTCGCCTTAATTTTCGCGTTTTTCCTCTTCCACTGCCTTTCGTACTTTAAGGATGTATGTTTTTGCCTTTGGAACTGGAAGGAAACAAAAAGAAGGATGAAGTGGAAACGTTACACACACACACACAATATTTTACTGCTCCTTCCATGTAAATATTTGTATAAAGTTCGCATTAACGAGCCGAACAATTTATATTTGTACGTCCATATAACGTGCTCAACGTTCCGTCTTCTTTATCCTCGTGCGTGTCGTGCCACCGTTTCGTGTTCTCAAAATTATATCTTTAAGAAAAGAATTTAAAAAAGAAGTTAAAGAATCGTGCATACTTTCATTCAATAAATCCACAAATTTAACGAAAACATACAATTTTCGTTTTGATTTTAATATAAATTAAATTTCATGAATTATACTTGAAAATTTTAGAATATTTCTAGTTGGGATTTCGTAAAACCAGAAGTAAATTTCAACAAATGTGAAAATGTAATAAGGTACAATTATGTAATTTTAAGTGGAAACATTGATTGAATATGTGTAACGAATTTGATTTGAGATGAAAGTGGTTTTGTGAGTGTGAGCAGGAAAAGTCTGTAACTGATTGCATGCACTTTCGTTGCAACATAAACTCTAAATTAAAAAAAAAGTAAAATAATTCCAACTAATCCGATTTTTCGATGATGAACGAGATCACCGTAATCCCTCTTGGAAATGTATAAATCGCCAGTCGAAATAAAGAAAGAAACGCCCGGTCATCACGGAAATTGGGGCATTTTTTTTTTATATAACGGTGTATCTCTTAATTGTCGAGAACGCGAGCGCGTCTTTCTATAACGAGAAAAACCGTCTGAAAGTCACGATTCGTTCTTTCAACGGTAAAATTCTCTCGGCCATAGAAGGAAGATGAAAGAATTGGAGAGAAAGAAAGAAAAAACACGCACAACTGTTTATATTCATTTATTCCTTCCAAATAATGTATATTCATCTTTCATCATCATCATCATCAACGTTTTTTCAAAGTCAAGTTCACGTTTTTTTTTTTGTTGTTGTTTAAATTTAAATTAAATCCGCGTAATTGTAATTAATTGCGGATGCATAATTTACGTAATGAGCGTGTGCGGTGCGCGCACACAAAAGAGAGTAATTAGTTAAAGAATAAATAACAACATGTAAGATTCGTTGCGGCGTAACGCGAGGTATAATAATGTTATTATTAGCGTTTAAACGCGAGAGGACAAAAATTAAATAAGCACGAGATAATGCGATAAGTGGGCTTAAAGCTGCTTCCATTGTCTTTGATTTTCCGGGGTCCTTTGAAGCACCCGCGCGTTCGCCGTCGCCGCCGCCTTTGATGATGATGGCTTTCATCGAACTCTCATGGCAGAATCGATGCAAGCTTTGAATTGTTACAATGTGTGTGTGTTGTTACGTTAAGGATAATAATTCAATTAGTTTTAAACTCCGTCCGGAGTTTAATCTGCGGATAAAATTGCAAAAATTAATATTATTAAAATAAATAGGATCCTTCTAATCCAGATTACTTTCTTTGCGTGCGCTCTGGAATATCTTGCATTTTTTTTCTCTCTTTCTTCATCTTTCTTCAACCCCTTTTGGAGGAGAAAGAGAGAGAGAGAGAGAGAGCGCAAACGTTATGCAACCGCGTTATTTTTAACGATTACGCGAGAGCGCAGTCTGGCCAATTAAAATAATACAATTTTTCTTAATTGCGCTTCGCTCGCGCTCCGCTGGCTCGGGACCATTTTAATAATTTTTTATATTCCCTCTCCGTCATCTTTCATCCTACCTACTTAACTCTCTTTCTCTTTCTCGTATGAATGAATGGGTGGATGAGAGAGAATGATGCTCAGTGAGATGATGATGATGATGGCGGAAGGCTAATGATTTAATCCCAAGGTTTCGTTGCACTTTAACTGCCATCGGCCGCAATTATTAAGCTGCTTAAACGTGCGTCCCAGGGGCGGCGGCGGCAGCGTTCCATAAATTTCCGTCCATTTTTTTTCTCTCTCTCTCTCCCATTAATTAACGACGACGAAGATGGACGCGACGTTTTTAAAAAATTGCCGCCGCCGCCGCCTCCGACGATGTTTGACTGCGACGATGTCGACGGCTGCCCTTCGCCGCCCCCTCTGTGATCGTAATTAGTCACTTATGCTCGGGCCTTGATAATCTGTCGTCGCTGTTTGAATCACGTAATATATTGCTGCCACTGCTGCCCCCAGTGCTTGCGACTCGCTTCAGATATGAATATTTTAGCTGTGCTGTGTGCGCACACCCCTTGTTTGATTTTAATTGACTTTCCGCGACTTCCTCTCTCATCAATTCCTCGTTTTCGGGACCATTAATTTCGCTCCGCCTCGGACCACTTGCGGCTAAACATCGTTTGGAAAGTTTTGATAAGCGTTAAAAACCATACCAAACCCCCTCACACTTATACAAATAATCGCGTATTTTAATGATGCAGATTTCAAAATTTTAATTGCACTTAATCTTATGTACAAGCCTGCATAAAGGATAGGGCGGATATATACGCCGGTCGTCCTCAAAATTAAATCCCAGACATCTTATGTATAAGACTGCGGATAAGGCGGATATATATGCCGCTTGTCCACAAACTTAAATCTGAGACATCTTATGTACAAGCTTGCATAAAGGATAGGGCGGATATATACGCCGGTTGTCCACAACATTAAATCCCAGACATCTTTTGCACAAGCCTGCGGATAGGGCGGATATATACGACGCTAGTCCATAAACTAAAATCTCGGACATCTTCTGTGTAAATCGAAAACTTATAACACTTAACATGTTTTATTGAATTTCGGAAATACAAAATTTTGTTAATTATTAAATAACACAATTGATAAGTGTAGTTAAAGTAATGGAATAATAAAAAGTTTGTATAATTCTAAAGTTCGTTAGGGTAATTAATGTTGTTTACGAATATAAAGACTGTTGTTGTTTTGTTAAAACTGCGGTTTTGTTTTAAATAATAATTACTTTGTAGATAGGATTGATTGTGCAAGGATAATGGATTAGCATTTTTTTGGGGGGTTGGGAAGAGAAGGGAGAGAGAGCAGGAGCAGCTATTATTACGGGCGTCGCTAAATAACTTGGCGCAACTTAATGTGTAATTTATATGACGTTCAGTGTGCTTTCGGGGCAGAATTCTGTAATGCTAGGGGGATAGCTTGGGTGTCCTGATGAATCGTCTGAAATATATATATATGTATATAAATTCCCGCGAGGGGCGCCGATCTTAATTTCGCACGTGGCGCCTTTAAATTTTCCGGCTTTGCGTTGAAAATTACGACCTCTGCGTTGCATCAAAAAGCTGTATTATATGAAACAAGGTGTGTGTGTGTGTATGTATAGGGGGTTGGTGGAGGTGTATATGCGAGAGGGCTTTAAAACGCGGGGGCGGCTGTGGCGGCGGCGCTCATCCGATAATTCAGAATTTGCAACTTGCAGAGCGGCGCAGAGCCGACCATAGATCTGCGAGGCATTGTCGTGTGAAATTGGATTTTGTCATTTTAATTATAATTTTATCTGTTACGTGTGCGATTTTAATTAACCCCATCTGAAATTGATTGAGCCTCTGCCCAAAACCACACTCCCCCCCCATATCATACACACTGCATCAAATGATACGTCAAATTTTCATTTTTACAAATTGAAATTGTATGAAGATTGTAAATTTCTTTGGTATTTGGCAATAGTTCAGCAAAATGTGATATGGATTATTATCGAATGGATGATCGCTACAGTTAGTGAATTAGACAATAATAAAGATGACAATTTGAGTTTGATGATTAATTTAATAATTTTAACTTTATATTCTTACTTCATCGATTTTTTTTTACCAAACAAAATTGAAATAAAAATAATTCTATAGTTTTATTCATTTGCACGTTTTGTATGCGTTCATTTCTTTCAGTGTTTCGACGCGTGGGCGCAATTACAAATAGATTTTTTTGGCCTAAATTCGGTTTCGGGGGGCGCGCCGTAAAAATAGCGCCCCCCACGTGCATTTTTATAAACGGCTCAAATATACACACACTTACACTCATATTATACGCTTTTAATCAGAATTTCCTCTGCTCAATTATTATTTCTGTTTTTATTACGATGGTTTTTGAGGGTTTATAAATATTTAAACGAAATGCGCCCCTTTTCTTTTTTTTTTTTTTGATACGTCGACGCGATGTAATAATTCCATTGCAGACTCGTTAAGTTTTACTGCGGAATGGATTACGTTCCTGAAACGCAACTAATGAATTGATGAAAATGAAACTCTTAATTGCGCATTTTTTTTTTTTGTAGAAAACGAAATTGTTATACAGTTTCGGGAGCTGCGCTATTTATAGATGTGATTCATGATTCTCGTTCTCTATTCATGATGGGAAGAGAAGAAAGAGTAAGTGAGTGAAGAAATGTGTGTGTGTATAATATGTATCTGGGTGTAAGCAGCAATGATCTTTTCCGGCGAAGAGGATATTTTTGAAATAAGTCACGACGGTTTGTAACCTTAAACCACCGTGTGTCACGCAACCGAGCTTCTTTTCTTGTTTCTTCTCCATTCTTTTCTTTGCTTGCCACCATCATGATCCGAGTAACTTTACACTGCATCGTCGACTTGCACTTAAGTCACTTTGTTGCAAATCTTTATTGCTCCACATAATTTTTGCTCAATTTATAATTTTTTTTTTCTTAAGATATTTTTACAATTTCCAAGTTTTTTCATTATTTTGGGTTTTTTATTGTTAATGAAGCTGTGAAATTGTTGACTAATTTTGTTTTATTGATTTTGTTTGATTGCAGATCGCTGATTAAATCAGAGAAGCAGTGAAATCATCGGCAGTAGACACAGAGGGCTTGCTGATCCGTCGTTTTTACCTATAATTTCGTCGAAAAAGAAAAAAATCTCTCTTCCTTAAGTGAAACATGCGCTAGCTTTTGAACGACAGCCGCTTCGCTTTTGCCTTCCCGCTTCCTGCGTTAAAGTCAAAAGAAAACTCAGAAAGATTCTTAAATCCAGCCCCCTCATTAGACACCCCAAGTCTTGTTTCCTAACAAAAAAAAAAACCTTTTGTTGTTGTTGACCCTCCTCTAGTCCTGCTCTGGAACGAAGGGAATCGTAATAATAATAATAATACGAAAAGGAGAAGAAACCAGTTTAATTTCCTCCTCTCGCGCTTAGTTACTGCAATAATGAACATTAGTTGCACCTAAGAGTCGAGCTGAGTTACTACTTGTATTACTACAACAGCCATAACCTTCTTCCTCCACATTTCCCTGGAGGTATTTTTGCACGTAAAGAGAACCGAGCAGGAGTGATAAATTCCTGTCCTCCCAACAGCATCGCAATTGACCCGGCGTACTACCCTTACTACACCTCCCCGCACCAGCACCTCTACCGCTGTCCGCCGCCCTCCTACGACAGCAACAGAAAAATGGCCATGGTTAACATGAACAATCTGCTGAACGGGAAGGATTCCCGTTGGCTGCAGCTGGAGGTCTGCAGGGAGTTCCAGAGGAACAAATGCTCCAGACCGGATACAGAGTGCAAGTTCGCACATCCACCAGCCAACGTCGAGGTGCAGAACGGACGTGTCACCGCCTGCTACGACAGCATCAAGGTAAGCAAACTTTTTCATCTTTCATCGTGATCTCGATAATGATATCGAATTTTATTTAAATTATCTTTAAAAATTGGTTTTGATGATGATGTGTTACATCATTGTGGACGTGAATGATGTGTGTTCTGGTGTAATAAGGATGTGTGCGTTTGCCTCTGTCCCACATATAATTAATTGAAAGGAGGAAAGCATGTGCGCGTCCGTGGGTCGCGTTTGATTGCACATTCCGAAGTGGTATCATTCGGTGGCTCCATCTGTGTCGCCGAACCGGAGCACATCCATCCCGAATTTCCATTCCCATCGCGAGAGTTGAGAGATAGAGGACTTGGAGGTCGCATTCTCTCTCTCTGTCCCTCCGTTCATATCTGGTTGAATGTAGGAACATTGAAATTATAATCCGTGCGCTCCTGATGACATTACCGAACAATACTTGTCACTGTCAGCCATATTTCCTGCTCTCTCTCTCTCTCGCGCGCGCGCGTATAATTTGATATATCGCCAAATTGGAGGCATCAGACTTATTGTTCCCAAAAGCGTTCACATTGTGTCTATATCTCTCTCTCTCTCATTCTATATCTTAGACGTCTTGCGTCAATTAGTGTCGTTTCATTAATTGCCGAGACTTATCCAGAGAGTTTCCCTCCAAATATCTTAACGAATATCGCTCCAACATCGATGTAATTATTAAGCAGTTATGCGAGCAAAAGGTTGCATTAATTCGTGTCGTGGCATCGCGCATCAGAAACGAAACACACTACGTTCTCTTCGGTATGATCAAGTATGCGGAGACTTAAGTGGCGGAGGCGATTACGCAATCCGCGCTTCAGAAATAACACATCATCGATCTAAAAATAGATCAAACAGTGCTCTTTCTCTCTGCCCAAGTCTGCGTTCCGTGTGCGCTGCTAACAGCAAAGCCATCCATCCATCCAACCCATACTATATATGTGTACGTACGTTAGTGAGTGAGTGTGCAGAGAGAAAGAGACCTTCATTTCTCATACATCAAAACGGCCACATATTTTATTAAAAGCTTTACCCTCTGAATACCTATATCATCTCTATATATATATATGTAACATGACTATTTCCTCGGTCCGTGAAGTGAAAAAAGCTCTTTCTTCCACTGCTGACTCCATTCATCAATTACCAAAGACTGATGATATGTGCGCTGCGGCTGTTTTTTTTTTTTCGTCTTTTTCTCTCCACCTCCACCTCCTCATTCTCATGATCCTCTTCGAATGATGCTTCGGAAATTTAATTAAAAACCGTCCTCGGGTTTATTATCCTCCTTGGGCGCAGATCGCGCACATTCGTTTTATTATTTTTATTTTCTTTTATATTTATTTTCGTTTCGTTTTTATCTCTCCCTCTCTTTCTTTCTCTCGTGTATTCGTGTGTGTTATTCAATATGCGGCTCGGGTTTTGGCCTTGGCTGGGGTCTCGGATGTCCGCGGGGTTCGCGAGGACGTCAGAACCGGTCCAAGAAGGTCAGAGTCTGCAGATGCAGAGAGAAATTCCTCGGGCAACAAGAACAGGACTTTTGGTTTGATGTGGTTTCGTCGCCGTCCTCGTGTTTTGTTGGTCGAGAAGATGATTATGATGATGGTTGGTTGGTTGGTGGATGAAGAAGACTTTTTTGGGCTTCGCCGCGCGATTAGATAATCTCTTCAAACTCATCTCTGCAATTTTCTCTGAAAATGTTTAACAGCTGAATCGAGCAACGTTCGAATTGTTGCTGTGGGAGTGTCGTCTCTACTTCTTCTCGTCCTGCGAGTTCATTGCTTTTAGAGAGTGAGCGAGAGGAGATGCGTATCTCTTCAGGACTGTACCGACGAGTGGGTGTTGGTTACAATGGCCGGACGATTTATGGCGCGTTCCCCTCATCTCGTTTCCAATACGACTTCTCCTCGTGCTCGTTTCTTTTTCCTTCGCCTGTTTGCAGACTTCGTTCATTTTTAAACCTCTATCTCCGACCGTCCAAGACGAGATTCATTTAAAAGGAGCTGTTGCACTTTCTAAAATTTTAAAATGGCAAGAGATGGAAGAACTATCGAAACTTTCGACGATTTTATCCCATGGTCACAACACCTCTCGTTCGCTTCTCAGCAAAGAAAATCGAAATTATTATTATAATATCAATGTTCCGTGATTTCCATAAACTTTCCCCACCAGCGAGCGTTCCATAAAATAAGCTTTTCATCATGTTTATTGCGGCAGTATAAGTTCGAGGAAAACATACCCATAAAAAGTTATTGTTACACCATAATATAAGCTTTTGTATTCCCGAATCGCGGACACAGCACCTCCCAATCCCTTCTCTTTCTTTCATTCAAATGTAGCGAAGTCAAGAACCTCGACGTCCGTATGGCCACGACATCTTCATTTATATCTCTCTCTCTCTATATATATATATTCGCGTAATGTTGGTTTGTATCAATCGATAGGTTGAGGCGCCGCGACGTCGCCATTAGGAGCGTCGCGTCGCAGCTGTTTCACGAACTGTGTTTGCCTAGAAATCTAATAACTGCACGCGATCCCAAAAACCAACCCCACACATGTATTTGCTCCGGTCTTCTCCCTTTGACGACGACGATCCACACATACAAACGGAGAAACCGAGAACCCTCTTCCATTTCACCTCATCAAACCGCAAATAAAAAAAAAGATAAAGAGAAACGTAAGGTAACCATTCTCATTCTCAGTTTATATCTATGAAATGTGTAAGTTCAAATATAGAAATCGATCTATATTTTTATGGGTTTACTGTAATTAGGAGGTGCAGTGTCAAAAACAAAATGTTTTCTTTGGTAAAAACAAAAAAAACGTACGTTGATGGAATTACTCGGACCCGCATAATGTATTCAGAAGGCCTGGCTCGCAAAGGGCTTTTTATTGCGTTACATAACCGTAATTGTTATGGGCCGCGGCCACTTTTCGGTTTTGGGAATTCGCTTAAATTCTCTCATCCGACGTCTCTCTTTCTACACACACACACATTCTCACGTTCTCCACTCAGTTTTGTGTGTGTTTGTGTTTATAAATGGACTGAAAAGTTTCGGCGAAACAATGCCGGGGAATGCGAGAGCAAGTTTCTTCCCCGACGAGAAACTTGTTGTTCGGTCGGCGAGGTTTGTTTTTGCAGGAGGAGAACGCGCGATTCGCGACGCCCGAAGTTTTCCTTTTGAACTCTCCGTATTCATCTTAGTCTCTCTCTCTCTCACACTTTCACAGTGCCATATGTATTTTAATTAGTTTCTTTTTTTATAAAATTAATCGAAAATAGGGGCAGGGACAAAGCCATTATATTAATCCCCTAATTGATTCGTGCGGTGACCTCGAAGCGCACCCCAGTCTTCCGGAACAGTGCGGTTTCTTATTTCTTCCTGTTCCTGCTTAGGATTAGGTTTCTCATTGCTGCAATTTCAACGTGTTTCTATAATAGTTCTTAAAATGAGATACAGATGGCGTTCCTCATGAACCTAACCCGAAAGCTCGGTTTTAGATTGACTCCACTTCTTTGGACGGCCGAAAAGGATACGGATAAAAAAAAGAAAGAACACACACATATACACGCATAAGCATTTATCTGCCGCCCAATAAGGCAGAAAATATCTTCTTGCTCAGACCATTATCTTATTTATGTCGGCGCTCCCCCTTTTCAACTCATTTTTTCGTTTTGGCGATTTCAACTTCTACTTCTTCTTCTTAGTCCTGATGGGCAGAAAAGAAACCGCGCGACGTTATCTCAGCGACGCGCGCGAACCTGAATCAAATCTTAATGTCTGTTCGATTCGGGGAAATTGAAACTTTGTTACATCCATCGGAAAGGAAACGCGGGATGACGTTGATTTATATCCAGGAAACTTTGGCGCTCCTATCAAATCGCTCGCAGCGAAAGGAAAAAAAAAACGATAAATATAAGAAAAACTTTAACCTTCTGTTAAAATATATATATACAATTTTTTTTTGTAACAACTTTTCCTGTTCGTGCGTGCGCGTGTGTGTGACCCTTTTTCCGTTGAGGGCTTGAATGGGATTTGCATAAAGCTTGATAATCGTATTACACGCGAAAAACTTGATTCATCCGCGCTAATTGCGGTCTCCCTCCCGTACGTGAGTTGCAAGCACTTTTTTATTTAATTCGTCGTCCTGCTTCCACGAAAATCTGCTGCAGGTAATTCCTTTACTTTCCGCTCCCGCATTAAAGATAAGGCCGAATTTATCGGGGCGCAATTTGTTTAAGGGATGCAAGTCGAATGTTCAATTTGAAATTAAGTCGGTCGTTACGGATACACGGATTAGGATTTTCTATAAGTTATTGAAGCCTTAAAGTCGAGCTGTATTGTAGAAGTCTCTCTCTCACTCTGTGTGTTATCCGACAAGTTATGGGATTAATTTCGTATATAGGGGGGTTTTCTTGGAAATTCAATTGAGGCGCGTACGGCTTCTCTGTGTGCGCCGGAAGTTGTGTGTCGCGCGTTTTGTAAATTAGTTTCCGGTTAATTGCGGGAATTTAAAGTCTCGCGCGGCGCGCAAATATGTATTGTGGAAGTTCTTGCCAGCCGGAATTCCCTTAGGGCCGTGCAGATGGTGCGACCTCCTCCTCCTCCCGCTTCTTCCATCCAACCCTCCCTCACCCTCTCACTCCTAGATATATCCCGACAACTCCAATTGCGACATATAAATTCTCAACTTTACCTTAATTGCGAAATGTATTCGTAAAATTGCCCTTTTCCCTTGGAAAGACGCCTCCATATATATATTAAACCGTTGGGCCTGAGGGCTCTCTCTCTCTCTCGGCCTGCGCGCCGTTTAAACTTTATCCCGGAATCCCTTATTTATATACACATCCACCCTTCGTTGGAAGGTGGAATGTGCAGGTGGAACGAGAGAAGGAAGAAAAAAACGCGCATCTCCACCCCGCTTATTTATCGTCGCCGAAGCCCCTGGAAATTATCCGGAAGAGGATTACGTCGTGTTTTTGTTGCGCTTCGGAC